ATGAAAGTCGTGATGTTGTATGCTTCACACCACCTCCTTTATTCACAATAACACTAAGTGGGGCACTTGGCTGATACGTCTTGGGTGGACAATACGCCTTTAGTGGTTGTGCGTCTCATTGAAGAAGTGTGCCTATTTCCACTCGTCCAGTTCTCCGCTTTCCACACATTTTTGCAAGAATTGCTCACATCCATCTTTCAGGGTTTCCGTTGGGTCCGTAATTACAATATCATACGCTTCACAATCTTGTAAAGACTTAAGATATCTTATTTCATAGAATTGTGTCACATCCACAACTACAATTGCCCCTTCTACTAAAGAATCATCTTATTCAAGTTTTAAATGATGGTTTTAACTCTTCTATTTCTATTTAGTATCTGTGCCTGGCCATCACTTAGAGGATTTATTTGTTACTCAACATCATTCAAAGTCCCCGCTGGGAACTACTTGAAAAGGCGAAGCTAAAACTCTTCAAAATGTCCAATGAAGCTCTACTTTACATGTTATCTGACTATTTCTCCTTGAGCTGATTCCGGTACCCATTTGCTTAAGCTTTTTATCATGTTTACTATTTCATTTTCTGATATAACCTATCCGCCATCCTTTGTAACTTAAAGAAGTCCTTAAATCTAAGAGCGCTAAATAAGATTTGCTTGTTCATTAATTAACGCAATCTTTCAATGTTTTCTCTCGGTCTAATATCAAGTAGATCAGGAAATAAGCAACATGCACCGAATAGAAATAAATGACACGTAATTCGGTCTTGAGCAAGCCTTTAAAGGCTGTTTACACAAAAAGATGATCGACCCGTTAACCCATCACTGCCATGGACTTTAGGCGAAAACAAGTTGGCGACACTCGTGGAAGTGCCAGTCTAATCATATCAACTATGACAGCTTCTGGCTTTTGCTATAAACAGGCCTTAAATGGAGGCCAAGGCAACGGGGCGTGATCAAATGTGCACTTTTACCCCTTCCCTCTTGCCTATCAGATGGCCAGTTGCCCTTATGCCATTGTCGTTGATGTGAGGGGACAATTGCTGACACTTTCCGAGTCTCAAAGAATGATGATCCAGATCGTGAAGGGGCAGGGCAGCAGTTCAGAAAGGCAGTTCAACTGTGTTTGAATAAAAAGAGAATTAAACTGTACCCATTGTTTTGAAAGAAACGGTAGGAAAGCGTAATTTAGGCACGGGCAAACAGCATGCATACACTAGCATAGCTACTGAAAGAGATGTAGTTGGCATTCATCCCAGCCCCCCAGCCATGCTTTATCACCAAGTTACGGGCTAACAATACCGCAAAAGTACTCTCTGGTACGGGAATGAAGTTGACCATTTGAATATGGGTTCCTGTAAAGACTGATTAAAAGGTCAAGATAAGATGGAACAATTGGGCAAACTTTGGGCTGGACTATGCAGAAACTAGGCCTAACGTGTCAGGCTCACAGTCTGCATTGTCACGGTTCGACCCCTGCTGGGGGCGTTGATAAGACCTATGCGAGGTAGAAACTGCAGTCCTCTGGTGCCTGGATGAGAACACCTTTTGGGAAAGCAGGGCTCTGTAAAATTGAATGAAAACGTCAGCTCTACTCATAGGATTTTGGGAAAATTCTACTACCAATACTTCATCACCTTAAACGAAATAGGTTGAATACATCTTATATTACTGATTTACTCGTAGTCTCAAAACTCTACGTACATATGAAAAATAGGATAAATCTAGTCATAAAAAGACTTTTTGTGGGCCAAATTATTTTGGTTGAATGAAATTGCTTTGCATAAGGGATAAATTAAAAAATGATGCTATTGCAAAAAAACAATAACATTGGTGTGTATAAATGTGTGGTTTGAAAAAATTCCTTAGTAGATTGATGTTGGCGTACCTTTCAGTTCGTTCGAAGAGGCGAGTGGACGGGATTCGTAAGCCGTCCTGACCGGAAACTGAAAGTGGATTGCCTCGAAGCTGTGACGGTAGAGCTGCGCGAAAATGTCATCGACGCATCGTTCTACAACCCCGATGAGTCTTGCTGAGCCTTCATCTTTTGATGAAATGTCGTAAAGCATGATGTCCTGAACTGAGGATGTCCGTCACACGAAGGACGAAAACTCAGCAAGCATTCACCGGAGTCGCAGGGCTATGTGCCGAGGCCTAATTAGCACAAATCCACAATCACATCTTCAAAGCCTCCACAACTCGCAGCTGCCTCGTGGTTCACTAGTACCGATGGCCGTTTGGCGGAATGATACCGCAACCCCCTATACTCACGACCCGGTACCCTATCCGGTTTTAGGTGCTGATGAGAGGATCCAAACAATCCAGTCCAGCCGGGCCGAAATGTCCTTTCCAGAGACGAGGCTAAGTCTAAGTTAGTGACATCTTGAAGCTTAGTTAGTCCATTGTGGAAAAACCCAACTATCACTTGCTAACTAACCCTAAACGATCTTGATTTATCAAGTTCTTATAAAAGAATCCCTCGTAGTTTCGAAGCCTACACACACACAGAGTGTCAAAATTGGACTTGAAGGAGGCCTGTGACTATCATAAGTCAAAAGGAAATTTTCGTCCTGCATCAAATTGCCGGATTGCCAGATCTGAAAGTGGATGCCATCACAAGACGACGGAGGACTCCTTTTGGTCAGCTGTCGTTTGGCTTTACTAGAACATTCTTGTTGATACTGTCCAGCAGACAATCTTCTTCAATTCAGTTGAAAACCTGAAAGGAATTGTGTGTCATATGACCGACACCATCAGAGCAGGCCATCATTCTTACAACCATATTGAAGCTAACGTGTCAGCAAAATTTGCCATAAATGTATGCCCTTTGAGGAGATATAAAGTGATTTAGTTAGTTCAAGTAATATGTTAGTCTTGAAGCATGTGCATATGCTTGTTCGTTTGTATGCTTGTGATCTCAAACTTGTCGCTTTGATGATTCTGCTATGTATACAGCAAAGATCGAAATGAGATAGACCATCGAAATTGCCTGATTAAGCAATGCATTAAATGCTAAGAATACCGATTAAAAACTAAGTACGAAATAATTATGCTTAATTGAGAGACTCACGGATAAAGCGGATATTGAACCGCATAGAAAAACGAGGTTACTTAACTGGTCTTTTCTTGGTGAGTTCACTTTTACTCGAAATTGAAGTGAACTCAAAAATTGTAGGGCAAGAACTTCCTCGAAGCCCAACTTTCGTTTGCATATACTTTAATTGGGACTTAGTATTTATTATATATTTAAATCCAAACTACTGACTAGATTTCGGAATTTTCACTGGCTGTACAAGATCATTTCGGCGCGTCCTCTAATTCGGGAGATAATAAATCATGCCAGTTTGATGAAACTGGTTAAAATAGTGAAAAACTGGCTTTCGAACGAGTCCTGCATAGTTTAATGGAAGGTATGAAGCCTAAGATGGTGTGGACTTTAGTATGGTCGCGAATTCCTGCATAGTTTCAAGTCATATTATAATGTTTAATATTTGTACATAATTTATCAGAAATAAGAACTTAATCATCTTGAGTAGCCTAAGTTGATTCGAGGACTGATTCTGAATTGATTGAATATATTTTAAGGCTTCAGCCGGCCTTGGGAGAATTTCGTTCTTATTAAAGAATTATTAATAATTTTAGTAGATACTTACATTAATAATAAGTAAGGACGTCGGATATTACGCAAAATAAATCGACAATCTCCTAATAAATTTGATGTGAAAGTGGCCTGGATTATTTTTATTGCCCCTGCTGTCCTGTGACCCATTGGTCCTAGAATGTCACCACTAAGCTTCCTGCCAGGTTTCGAATCCCCTCTTTTGTGTGAATGCCACGACGAGAATGGGTCGAAGCTGCATTAGGGCCAAGCTAAGAAAACTTTTTAGCATACAAGTTTAGATGAAGACGCATGGTATCGCGAGCTGTCTCCATGCACTTGTTGAGAAAACTCCACTATTAATCCTTAAATCACCTAGAGTGACCAAGTTCTCATTTCGAAACTACCTGTACCAAGAAGCCTGATCACAACGAAAAGATATTATTTCAAGAAGTTTTGCCAGAGAATGATTTCCTACTCTGAGGGTGCTGGTCTTGATGAACAAACCAAAGCAGAGCCCCGCTGATCAGAGTATGAAAATGATGCACGGATAAGAAGTCAGTTGAAGTTGATAATCCAAACTCCAGGTCTAGCATTGTCTTGAGGTCATGCCAAATCAAAAAGAAGTTTTGGACAACTTTTCCATTGAAAAGGAAGCTTTGAAAGGGAGTGAGAACCCCATTCTCGAGCGGAGAAGTCGAAAGCAATCTGGTCAGTTGTGTTGTCTGTTTTTATGATCAGCCACGGCATCCACGACATCCACCTGTTTCAGAAAATAGTTCATTTCCTGCCCCAAACTGCATCTCACCCATTTCAGCCTCGGACTTAGCGGGATTGGCAAAAGACAACTGATTTGCGCTTTTGCTATCAACAAAAATAAGACTTTG